ATCGAATAGGTCCTGAGAGATTTATGTGCTAATTTCAAAAACATGACAATTTCAAAATATGACATCATCATCAATGTTTGCACTGACATGGTGTTGTTATGCCTGTTTGTATTAAATTGAGAGTTGAGCATGTCCCTGGGACAGGTCTGAGGGTCCTTACCAGCCCCTCCTCCCCAGGTCGCAGCGAGGTAACGGCCAGGTCATTGCCGCTCTCATCAAAGGCGTTGATGTCGATTCCCCAGTTGGTGTGGGGCTGTTTGAACCAGTTCTGCAACACGTGCTTGAAGTCAATACTTTGCCAATGTCCCACTCTGGAGTTGAGCTCGATCTTCAGCGAACGAATGCGGATGTGGCGGCTGCCCTGCTCCGTTACGGGCTTGAGCCGGAGGATCTGCAGGTAAACGGTGGAGGTCTGCTGCAGAGGACGCAGATACACCCACAGCTGGGCCTTCAGAACCTTGGTGAACATGAGTTTGGGGCTGAACTTGAAGAAGCAGCAGCTGGGTTTCCCGTTCACCTGCACCAGTGGCTCCGCTGTGAGAAAGAGCACAATCATCAATATATGAAAAACGCTATCATTAAGTATAAATACTTGTGTGAAAAAGAATTTAATCTGTGGATGCCTAGGCCACCACCCCATCACCTCACTCCACTTTGCACACCACTGTCAATTGGGTTTTCATTGATCTCGATGGAAAAAAAACACAAAATTAATTACCTTTTATTATTTTACATCCTGAGAAGAAAACCCCCCATTACGTATCACATGTTGTTTCGGTTTAGGGTATTCTTACCTAACTAATATTGGCTCCAATTTAATGCTGACAAAACATGTTCCCATAGAGTGCATAGAGAAAGTCTACACACCCCTATTCAAATGCCAGGCTTTTGTGATCCAAAAAGGGACCAAAAAAAACAAAAAATTTCAAGCATTTCAAAACATTTTCCATCATTAATGTGACATATAACCCGTGCTACTCAAATGAATTAAAAAAATGTCATTTGGGCAAATAATAATGAACAACTGAGATAATGTGGTTGTACAAGTGTGCACACCCTCTTACCA